TATATATATATATATATATATATATATGCATTAAAGTGAGAGCGTCGAACGCACTCTCATAATCTCTGATTACTACTAGTTTTTAAGCTACTTGGATTGCCGTATTTTAAAACTCTGAGAGAAGTTAAGTTTCTCCAAAAGAGGCTGTCATTTGTTGCTCTCAACATAACCAAAAGCCTAATTTAGGTCTCTGATCTACCCAATCTAGGGTCAAATCAAGAGGCAATCTTAGATCTCCGAAATTGGCAACATTTCGAAACAATCAAGTTTCATTCGTTTTTCCCCTTAACTGTTACATGTACGTCAACAAACAACAACATACAATGTAAGTATTCTTTAACCAATTTTCACCTTCACCTAGAACCAGATAACAGAAGATCATATCGATAAGGGAAACAACCATAATAGTTTGTGGATCGTCAGTAATTAACTCACCAAGGGTGATCGCAGCAACTAAATTGAAGGACTTTTGCTGTATGATGGCCGAGGAAAACATCTTCTATTTCGCAGATTGCCCCAGATCAGAACAGGCGATCAGATTTATTAAGAAGACTTAACAACAGTGCCATCTTTTCGGCCAGAATGATCAACTTTTGAGATGTGGCGTCGAAATTGTAATAAGTTCCTGTTGCGATGGCTAGTTGAGGCGTTGAGGCATGGAATTTCCGACAGGCGTTGTTAGAGTAAACTCTGGGAGCCAGTCCCCAGATCCTGTCGTCTTGGCCGGCAGGGCAGGGCACGAGAAACAATCCATCAACCATCTACAAAAGATTTCGACTTATTTTCTAGAAATTGTGAGATTTTCTCATGGATCACAAAGCTGGCTGTATGATATTAGGTAGGGTGTATATTTTCCTTGTAAAAATATTCTTAACCTTATGTTTTACGGGGGCACAGACTTTCGTGACTCGCTATTGTCCTATTGTCCCAGAGGTCCGATCGCCGACTTTGCCACTTGGCAGTAACATTTATAATTCATCACTGCATAGTTAGTCGAGGAGACTAACTATGATCACTGTAAATAAGCTTACATGAAAATTTTAACCTGAACAGGTTTAAAAGGTAGAAATTAATAACAATATGGGGTAGCTACTCCTTACTCAGAACGCTGTGGAAAATCACAACCGTNAACTCTACAAAGTCCAAAGGAAGGCCTGTCATACCCACCATATTTGAACTGTGATTGGTTCATCACTGTACCAGAGGGGAACATCGTAAAACTCTACTTTGACAGTTTTGAATTGGATTGGAGCTCAGGATGTTCAGGGGATTATTTGGAAGTTATTGATGGGAATAACAGTAATAGTAAGAGTATAGGAAGATTCTGTGGTTTTGGCCGCTACGCACATCCAGAGTCCATTCGTTCAAGTGGTAGATACATGCTGGTGCACTTCCGATCAGACTGGATGTCTTCGGGATTTGAAGATGGATTTAAGCTCACATTCACAGCTGAGGATGAAAGCAGTAAGTTAGAATTATTACATAAATTTTTTTCTTGATCTATAATGTTGCATGAGACCTCTGGCTAGCCAGGCCCTTTGAAAATATTATACGCTGAGGAGAATCTAAGAATTTTTAAGGAAAAGTATGAAATAATTATTATAAGCTACTTTTTGAGTTTGCAGAGGAGTAGGGGTTCAAATCAAAACCCTTCCTTGAGAAAGGTATGCAATGGAATTATTTTCTGGAACAAAACATTGTACATACATGCCTTGTGGAAAAAGTTTCTGGTCATGGTGAAAGATCCACACTGCCCCGTCTGGCTTAGACTTGTTACTGTCATTTGTGTATAATTTTTCCTAATGTTGTCCACCCTCGTTCACTGTTAGTTAATTTGCCACAAATTTGTACAACATACCTTATTCCATATTGCCACATTAAGTTAGAACTGCAGTTGTTGTGTCAAAGTCATTTTTTGTGACTATCAAGTGCAAAATGTAGGAGTATCATTAGGGAAGGCAATCGCACTCGAACATAAACGTTTTGGCGTTAATCCGCTGACCAGTGGACCGCTAATTTTGCAGTCGCTTGAGTTGTCGCTTTCATATTAGATAAATATAGCTTTCAGATTTTTCCTTACTTCTCCGCCAACATTTATTGTTAGAGAAGCCAGAGTATCTGTTTGCTGGTTCACTCTACGTTACTGAAACGGCCGATTTTTCTGCGAGCAAGTTGAGAAGCTAAAGAAAAAAAAANATTTGCGTATCAAGCACTTGTTTTGCGCGCGCACTACGCCATCTGCAGGTACATGTTTACAGTTGAATTTCAGTATAATTTTCGACAGGTAGCAGCTAGTTTTTCAGCTGGAAGACGTTAACAGGTAGTGGTTAACGATATGCTGCTACTCTAGTGCTCCTAATTTAAATACGGATTCATTAAACTTGCTTTGGTCACAGTAGGAAAATTTTAGTTGTGTACTTGGTAGCGTAGTTGATTGCATCAATGTCAACCCAGCGCGCGCGTAACGCTTAAACCATGCCTAGCGTGATGCGCAGAACGTGTGCACACTAACGAAAGTAGGGACCACGATTAAAGTTTACATTTTTTTCCAATCACCTTTTAGTTTGTCCCTATCACAGACATGTGTTTACTGCCACTGCATCCTACAATAAAACCATCACCAGCCCCAACTATCCATCACATTCTGAAAGTGACCTCAACTGCAACTGGCTGCTCGAAGTTGACGGTAGCATTGGTTCTGATGATTACATAGTGAAGGTAACGTTCAGTGACTTTGCAGTGGCATGTAACGATGCTGTTAAGTTCTATGATGGTAACAGCATTACTGTGTCAAACCTCCTTCGTTCATACTGTGGAACAATTTATCCTGAAGTTATTTACTCCACTGGGCGGTACCTATTTGTGAACTTCTACACAGACAACGACCTTTTTACTTACAGAGGGTTTAACTTCAGTTTTTCAGCTGTTAAAAAAGGTATTGTACTTGAAGTAATGNATACGCGATGGAAAAAAGAAAAGTAAAGTACTTGCTGAGTATTGTGGATATTACGAGTTTATGGGTCCATCGGATGTTTATTCCTCTGGAAGTACCTTGTCGGTTATCTTTAAGTCCGTTTCGAACAGCGAGGAAAATTCCAGTGGATTCAAAGCACGTTTTGAAGCTGTAGACATCCAAAGTAAGTAGTCTTCATTGACAGTTACTTGGTGTAAAAACGTTGCTCTTTTCCTTTTTTGTTCACTTTACACACTACCATGGCGTGAATGCGGAAATTAAAAAGTTGTGACAGGCTTGCACGACTCCCGCTGTATGCAAATGTGCATTCTTTGCCTTAAGAGTTTGCCATGTGCTTATGCATTGTTTAGGCTCATTTATAGTGCAAGATTTGTTTCAAGTCGCTTAGTATTTGCTTTCGTGGGACTAAATACGAAATTTACCGTGAACATGTTGCTTACTTGCATTATATATTGTGGCGCCGGGCCCGGCAGTTGCATGGTGAACTCCGAAATAAGCCGGGGCAGAATAACAACCATGCAAGAATGAAGATATGTAACCATAACTGCCCTCTCATTTCTTAGAATGGAAGGGTACAATTTGTAAAGTTTGTATTTTTTTTTGTTGCATAGGTGCCACTTCCAACCACTTGTGTTTCTCGGGAAACGTTAACAATAATAACCTGAAAATAACTGGATTAAGTGGAACTCTTCAAAGTCCATCGAGGGACTCAAGTTATCCGCCGGATTTAAGCTGTGATTGGCTCATCACTGTACCAGAAGGGAAAATTGTTAAACTGAGCTTTGATGTTCTTGATCTACACTCAAGTGGCTGGGGGCAATGTAAGGAGGATTATGTGGAGGTTCTAGACGGGAGGTACAATAGTAGCTTGAGTAAAGGAAGATTCTGTGATCCCACTCCAAGGGACATTCACTCCAGTGGTCGATACATGAGGGTGCGTTTTAAGTCAGATTCGGGGAACTCGTATTTTAGTCGCAGAGGATTCAAGGCCTCATTCACAGCGGAGAAT